ACAATGTTGATATATATGATTTCCATTAAGAGAACATAGAAATACTGAGAAACGTTGCAGTACATTTCATCATGAGAGCATATGAAAAAAAAAAAAACTACCATCACCAACACAGCACATGCCTTGAATTGCTTTTCTAGGAATGGTGATCATATGTTTACCTCCTCCCCCTCATTTTCTAGTGACTGTGGTGGTGGGAAGGAATGCGGTACCTGCTGATGGGCATAGAGTTTATACACACAAGGTAACCAACCTCCTTCACTTCATCTTCCAACTCTAACTGTGCTGAGGACCCGTCCACAAACTTGCCTTCCTTTGCTTCATCCTCAAATAATGCTTCTTCCCCATGTTTATTTTTCCATTTTGCAAGTAGATTTAGGGTGACAATTATCGCCAGGTGTGAATGAAGAGCATTCATGACAGAGTACAGTCAAATGCTCTAATTTTTAGCATGAAAATTTATTTTGATTGTGGTTCAACTGTGTACAGTTTACCCCAGATGATCTGGAACTTTGATTTTAATCAAAATTTGGAGTCTCCTGTGAACCAAGTTTTAGGTGCAATGTGTGATACAGGTATTTTCTCACATTCTGACATGAACTGGGATACACATGGGCTATTGAGGACAAGCTGTCAATATGCTGATGGAATAATTGAATCATAAGGAAAGCAACCACTTCAGTACTTTGCTTCTAGGAAGTTTCAAATGCAAGTCACTCTCTTAAAAGCAAACACTGGTGTGGATTTCGAGTGTTTTGAACATTTTAAAAGGAGGTAGCCCGGGCCATTGATTGAGACCAGTCCTGGGAAATGCCTGGCTATTTCCCTCATGTGTTCTCTAGGTTCACAATGTCCCCATTGTTCCAGTGGAGCAGGACTTCCTTCTTCTGATTGATTAGACATTGTGTGGCCACACATTTTCATGGTCTCATTGCTCATGAGCCAGCTGTCAGGCATAGAGAGGTCTCTGGGCACAAATTGCTTAAATCTTTTCATGTTTGGTTTCCTGAACATGAGGTGTTGTAGGGCTATTTCTTGCAGCCTGTTTCTCCATATCTGTCCTATTTGTCTAGCCAATCAATCCACACAATTCTACCCTAAGAATATCCATGGAAGGAAAGGCTGGAAAACTCTCCTCTGTTAAGCGTGTTTGGCTCATTCTGGAAATTTCATTTTAAGATTTGGCACCCGATCTTTGGGTAATATGGCCACACCTGTGTTTGGGGTTTAATGGCACCGAATGGGTCTTCATATTACATTTTAAAATAGGAACTTAATATTTATGATCAAATAGTGCTTGAGTAAACATAAAATTCAGATTCAGAGTTGTACCTTATAGATATCGAATGCATCTAATGCTGCTTCCTATAGTGAATTTCTAAGGTACCAATGCATTCAACATTGTAGTTCATGTGCAGAAAACATGCCATTTGGAAGCAGCCTCAATTATCTGCTTATGGGAAGAAGAATGCAAATCTTGAATGAAAAAGCATTTTGTTCCGTGTTTGGGAACATTGAGGCTGACTTTTAAACACAGTCCAACACTCCCCCTGTTCTTTAAGACTCAGAACAATCATTCTTTTTCTTCTTGAATTTCTTTCTTTACATCCATCTCTATCCAGTCTGTGTTAGGAAACTGATAGTCTTCCTCATGGGGCTATGAACTCCTTGAGCATCATCTCATTTCTCTTTGTGTCTCCAGGGTCTGGCACATGGAGATGATGCACAGTCCCAGAGTGCCTGATGGGATATGTTTTGGTCTCTGTACTGGAATTTCTCTGCTTTCATTTCTGATGACATCATGCCATAGATGAATTTTGTTTGCTTCATGGGAAACCTACTTTGTGGACCCTTAAAAAAGGTCTGACCCCAAAGCAAGAGGTGAGTGTGGAGGCTCCACAGTAGGTTTGGGTGAGAAGCATGGTTTGACGCTCAGTATAAATTTGCTGAGTGTGTGCATGCATGCATGAATGAATGAATGTCACACGGCCAAACACACTTGAACTCTGTTCCCACTGTTGGCAAATAAAACACTCTCAAACTATGTGCATAATTGTTAGGAAAAGGCATTTGGATAATATTTGGAAACATTATACAAAATAGTACATCCCCTCTTACCCACCATAAATGGTAGTGATATGCCAGGTCCGTGTTAGAAGATGGGCAATTCTGATTAGATTCCCATCTCTCCACCCTAGGTGTGGCTAAAGATAGTTGCTCCCCCCCAAAAGAGGCATGATATAGAGTAGAACTTTCTGACAACTATCAAAGTGGCCCACCATTTGCAACTTGATTTTTTAAGATAATATAGTAATGGACTTGTTTTTTCTCTGAGTGTGTATGTATTTGGGAAAAGACAGTAGTGAGCAAGGGAAGGTTGCTAGCACATTGTCATACGGGAGAGGAGCAGAGAATGCTGCTTATTTCCTGAGAGGCCAGATTACCTCTCCCCACCATCCCCTCCCCTTGATCTTCTCAATTGGTCTGGGATTTCCAATGCTTTTGAGCATGGGTGTTACTAGAGGCACATCCAAGATTATCTTGTGTATTCCCCCTCTGGAGCCCATGAGATAGTGGTGTGTGTGTATGTGTGTGTGTGTGTGTGTGTGTGTTTGTGTGTGCACCCATGAGATAGGGGCAAGGTAAAGAAGTAGAGAGAGCAATAATAAAGTGTGTGTGGGGAAATTGGTCAGATATACACTCAGTGTTTTCCCCAGGCATGAAATACAGGGAGTCTGTCCTTTTAAAGTGGGGCATGCAGACTCCAGGCTTCCTGCTAGCTCACTCTAGCTGGAAATCAGCCTGAAAACCACACTCTGCACTTCTTTGATTCATGCCTAGGGACATTTCTCTAGATCTCAGAGATAAGCTTTCCAAGACACTCCTGGCCTTAATGGCAGCTTCCTCTTTAGCCAAAAATAAACAAGGAGTGGCCAGAGGGCAGAAAAGGAAACAGAGGGTAGGGGAGGAAATGATGGAAGGTTGAAGAGGATAAAATGCAGAGGCCAAAAGAGATTTAGCATTAGGTTCCTGTTTGAGAAAATGTGTGTTAGGATAGCTGTGTGTGTATGGGGGTGGGGGGAGTAAAAGATGAGACACAAGCAAGATAAGTAACCGGAAGACTGGAGTGGAGAAGAAATTTAAAAAGGCTGGACAGAGGGAAAATAGGTCTAGTTTCCACTGATTTTTTTTGCAACTGGAGCTCTAGGACCTTGTGTTGGCTTGTTATTCTGAGTATGGACAGTTTTGTGGGGACTCTCACACTGATTTCAGAGGAGATGAATTAGGGAAGACCCAGCTATTCACTAAGTAACTTTGTCCTTCTCTCCTTTTGTGTCTGAACATCCTCTGAGGCTTGTAATTTCTTTGCACAGGGCTGGAGAAAGGCTTTGCTTCAGAGCCCACAGAAATGGTTCATGAATTTCTAGTCCCATGAGATGCCTTGCCTAATGAATGAATAAATGAATGAATGAATGAATGAATGAATGATGATTCACAAGTCAAACGAGGTCCAAAGATACTTGCATATTCCTTCTGCCTTTGGAGAGTTATGGAACAGATTAACATATTGTAGGCTCTAAGGATACTGCTTGAAAAGGGTATTTGTTGAACAGAACATTTTTTTCAAACTTGACTGAGGACATATAATCTTGCACAATTTAGATCATCTGAATGGTGACTCCCAGGCTAAATAATCTATATGACTGTATGGGTGGCCCTTGCCATGAGCCTTTCTTTTTTTCTTTCCCTTTAAACAATACTTATTCGCTTGAGAGCCTCCTGCATTCCATGGGAATACAAAAGATAACATCTTGCCCATCATGAGTATGCAAACGGCACTATTTTCACAGCATTAATAGGGCAAAAAGTCCGAGTTGGGTTGACTTATGCCAATRCACTCATCCATCAATCCTGCCTGGAACCCACAAAATCCTTTTGAAAGATGGTTTCCTGAGATAAGGCTGCAGCTTGTGGCTACAGACAGAATGAGATCATTAGTTTTGCATGTGAATCTCATCCACAGCCACAGTGTCCTCAGCTCTCTGCTTTGAGCCTTGGTTCTTCTCTTCCTTTGATCTAAGTCAGTTCCGGTTGGCAGGTGTTAGTGGTGGAAATGCTTGATGACCATTTTATTATTTTATTTTCAGGGTATCAGGTATTGAACCCTGAGGTGCGCTACCACTGAGCTACATCCTCACCCATTTTTATTGTATTCTTAATACTGAGAACAGGGGCTTATTAAATTGCTGAGATTGGCCTCAAACCTGATCCTCCTGCCTCTGCCCCCAAATCATTGGGTTTATAGGCATGTACCACCAGGCCCAGCTTCAATGGCCCTTTAAAATGTTCAAAATGTTCAAAGGCCACTGAGATGCAGTACTGAATACATACATACACACACACACACACATATACATACACACACACACAATGATTCTTGAATGAAAGTCTGTGTCTTAGAACTATAAAGGAATTATAAAGATCTTCTGGATCTGTTTCCTGTCTTTAAGTCATTAGTAATAATACCTTATAAATCTTCAATGTTTTCATTTTAGACTCTAGAACATCAATTCCCTAGTTTTGCTGCACATTGGAATCACCCAGGAAGCTTATATTTAAATTTTTGATTAACATAGATTAATCCTATATTTAAATGGGGTTCAGTGTGATATTTGAATACATGAATATAAGTGTGCATTGATCAAATCAAACATCTCTTTATCCATCCTCCTCCCCCTTGCCATTCTGTGAAGCTTTTAATTCCAATGCCTGAACTACATCCCATTCCAGTCAAATCACAACATCTGGAGTGGGAGTTTGCATTTGTATTTTTTAAAGATCCCCAGTAATCCCGATGTGCAGAAAGTCCAGGTTGCACTGGTTTAGAAGCACTTTAGTTTCCAGACATTTTATTACAACAACTATGTATCCCTGAGAAGAGCAAGACAGGAATTCATTCTCATCCTTATAGTAACAGAGGTCCTAACAGGTTAAAAAACATGATCAAGATCACAAGAGTAGATCAGGTTCCAGGTAAGGGTTCCTTCTTTGACTGATCCTAAGTCAAGCACAGCATGTCAGATTAAATTCTGAAAATGATGGAATGAGAGACTCCGTGGGAACTTGGAGGAGTTGGTCCACTGGATTGAACATGGATCTTCGCGTCTGTAGGAGAAACAAGAAGGTCACTTCGGTGTGATCTCTTGCCCCTCCCATCAATGCTCTTTCTGTCTGGAGACTGGTTTGTAGTTCATTTATAGGAAGACAAAATAGAACCTTTGTGCTGGTGTTGAAGGAAATTAGAAAAAGCCACAGCTTGTCTTCTGACTTAATGTCAAATATTTATCTCCTGCTGGTTTTAAACAAACAAGTCCTCCCCATGCATGTTGACAGTCTCAAACACTCTACCCATTCGTTGTCTCTAGTTTCTCAGCCTCAGCAACAGCAAGTATGAGAGAAATCTACTATTCTATAGAATTGTGCTAGCAGCCACATCAGCCTGCTTCTGCAGGGGCCCAATGAGATGCAGTGAGACGCACTGGGTCGAACATACGCACATTAGTATTGGGTAGGATTCACTAATGACTGGGGGGTCCTGATGCTTCAATCTCATTAACCAGAGACTTAGAAGGAAGGATGGAAAGTATTATCCAAAAATCTTCCAAATACCACCACACGTTTCCATCATCAGACATGATTCAAAAGTCCTATGGGTAGAAGAAGTACAAATTCTAACAGCTCTAACATGGGAGATAACTTATAAGTCCTCTTTCATTGGAGATGAAAAGTAACAGGCTGGGTGACCACTTGGATGACATGCTTTATGTTAGAAGGGGACCTGATGACCTTAGTTCCAAACCTAAGATAGGTCTTAAAAGGAGAAATATGCTGTTTTAAATTTCATTTAAAAAATATTCCACAAAAAACTTTCCAGGTTAAGAGGATTATGTGGACATTATTTCTTCCTTAGCCTCAGAAAAATGATATCATGAATTCATTTGAAAATGGACTGTTGTAGAAAATTGCTACCGAGACTCATAGCAGGGAGTCTGCTGCATCTAAATAAGTTTAACACAAGTAGGCTTGTATTTTTCTTTTTAGTATGAACAGATCTCCAGAATGCTAGCCTATGGTTGGGTATGTTTAAAAGTTGTTGAAATTTGTGAATAATCAAACTTATAAAAATAGTGGGATTTAAGGTTACCCCTGTGACATGCTCACTCTCATTCCACAAATGTTCCTTGAAAAGGAGAAAAAAAGACATGGGAAACTTGAGAATTGCTTACACATGAACACATCACCCTCCTGGATGCTGCAGCTGAAAGAAATGTTTAGAACTATTGCTTGGTCTAGGTGAGGGCTACTCAGTATGGTCCATGGACCACAGCATCACCATCATTTGGGAAGTTAGTTGAAGAAGCAAATTCTCAGGTCCTCAAAACAGACCTATTGAATCAGAATCTCTAAGGGTGGGACCCAGGTATCTTTTTAGAAGCTCTCCAGTTTGCTTGCTAAAATTTGAGAAATACTGCGCTAGACCAATGCTTCTCAAAAGTGTGGTTTACAGTAGCACCAACATCTCCTGGGAACTTAGTAGAAACCACTGCAACCCTTTTTCACAGAGTTTTGGCAGGTGATAGTGGAAATACTCCACAGCCCTTTTAAATGTGTAAAGGCCACAGAGATGGAAAAACTGAATATATCGAATAATGAATTCTTGGGTAACAGCACGTGTCTCAAAACTGGAAAAGAACTAAAAACATGTCCCGTTTCCTGTCTAGGCAGTTAATAATACAACCCTACAAGGCCTCCAGTGTTTGTTTTTGTTTCTGTTTTTCCCCCTCCCCCCTTTTGGTTTAGTGGTGGTTGTCCTGCAATCAGCCACCCTGAGGGTGGGCCTTGCATTCTGTGCTTGAACAAGTCCTCCAGTTAGACATGCTGACCATAGTTCTCATCACCATCTGCATGACCACAGAGACCCTTAAGGCTTCCCTATTTCAGCCTGTGCTTGGGGCCCTTGTAGCTGACTCTCCTGGTTGCTGCCATCTTTGCCACACCCTAATCCCAATCCTAGGCTGGGAGATGTAGGTAGAGAGTGGAACTTTGCACACTTGCAGGGACATGGCCACATGCAGAGTCTGGTAGAATAGATGGTATGGCTTTGAAATGGGGATTCCCCCCCTCCCTCTCTGAACCAACCTCCACACAAACCCCAGCACTCACACCATAGCACTAGGAGTCCATAAGGCAGAGTACCTGCAGAAGAGGGTCAGGGCAACCTAAGGAGTTTGAGCAAGGCCATGCCTTGAAGCCTTTTGGGCCTCACCTCCCTCTAGCTGGAAGGAAAGCATATCCTCTTCTATGAAGGTGGACTCAGCTTAGCCTCTTGCAGAGACCATAGGGCTTGGGATTCTAAGGGTGGCTACTAATTGTGTTCTTAGGTTAGTTTGAGGAAGCCCTGGCTGAAAGTGTGTTTCCCCAAAGCTACATGGACCTACATTATGAGGAATGCTAACAGACCAGGAAGAGAGGGAAAATGTGACAAAGTTAAAAACAGAAGAAGGAAAGGTGGAGATAAGAGAAGGCAGGGCTCTGTGAAATGGCCTCTCTTGTTATTGCTGGTAGGGGTCAGACCCTGTGCATGGGATGTGAAGGGGCTGCTCCTCAGTTTGCTCCAGGGGTTTGGTTTTTGCCTCTGCCAGAGCCATACAACTATGCTAACCTGAAAGATCTTTGCTTCAAGGACACAAGAATGAACAGTCAAGTCTGTGCTTGGAAATTTTGTTGGGACTTTTCTAGTGAAAGGCGATGTCATTACATCTTGCCTTCCTCCACAGAGGAACAGAGGACTCTCAGAGGAAGATGGAACCCTTCGGTGGCACATTCTTTACTGACAGATCTGTCCCTGGAGAAGCTCCAGCTCCCGAATGTCATAAAGGCAGGCTGGAAAGAACTGTGTATAGTAATTCCCACAAGGGCTACATCCCAAGATACCCATGAGTGCCTGAAACAGTGGCTAGTAGCAAACCCTATACATAGTGTGTTTTTTTCTATAGTACATACCTATGACAATGTCTACTTCATAAATTAGATACATTAAGAGACTAATGACAATAACAATAAAATAGACCTAAAACAACATATCATTAAAAAGCTAGTTAAAACTTATGAATTATTTGTTTCTGGAATTATCTATGAAATATTTTTGGGTAATTGAAAATCCTAGAAGGTGAAACTGAGGATAAGGGGGTCTACTATAATCTGTGTCTTCTCTTGATTATCCTCATTTATAGCATTTTTAACCGAATTTGGGTTGGAGATGGCAAGATGACGGTTTCTCGCCAGTCCTTCTCAAACTCCTATTGAAATGACAGAAGAGGAAGGAAATTACACACCATTGGGGTGAACAGGGAAAGGCGGCAGCTACAGAAAATAAATTGGAGGCATTCCTGGTAGATAGAGTCAGGTTGCAAATAAAGGAAGGAAAGACTGACCTGTCCATAATTTGGTACCTGCAAAGGAATTGCAAAACTGATAGGCAGCCTTTCCCACCCCACCCCAAACATCCAGAACTTCTGTGCAGCAGCTCTGGTGAAGAGCTTATGGTTTTTTAGGATATGTCACTTGATCCAAGTCCTTAAAATATACTATAGTTGGCTCTTTGTAGCATTGAGTTTCACATCTTTAGATTCACACAATTGTGAATACAAAATATAGACAGCATGATCCAAAGTGCATGTATGAAGACACAAATTGGTGTCAACATACTTAATAGACAACCAGAGATATGAAAAATTTTCCTGCATATGTGTAATAAGAATTGTAATGCATTCTGCTGTCATTTATTTTAAAAAAAAGTGTGTGTGTACTGACATAAATAGATTATTTTCCTGTCATTACTCTCAAACTATCTATAGCAGAAACGTATTTACATTGTATTTGGTATTAAAAGTAATCTAAAGACAATTTAAAGCATATGGGAGGATGTGTATAGAGCGTATGCAAATTCTATGCTATCTTATATGTGGAATTTCAGCAATTGCAGATTCACTGTGGGAAGTCCTGAAATCAATAAATACCCCACAAAGACCAAGGGCTGGCTTACTTTATTTAGTCCTTACCCTAACCTTATATTAACCATTTTTATTGGTGAAAAAAAAATAAATGTTGAAGGGCTTAAATAATTTGAGGTTAGATAAATATTTGAAAGCAAGCCTGCCTACCTGACTTCAAGTCTCTTGTTCTTTAGTATTTCCACTATTCTTTAACTGAAATACTGTATAGAATATCCTTCTGTCCCCCACTTTGGATTGGATTTTATTCCTGTGGAATATAAGGGCGGGGCACGATGGGGAAGAGGTCAAGGTTTGGCTCCTCTATGCTCAATACTTTGAATAATTGTATATGACTGCCTCTAAATAGCCTGCATTTCTCTTTGTTGGTAGGACCCACAGAAAACATCGGACTTCCTAAGAAACTGCTTGATAAAAATGACCCTTGGCCAGCTTATGTCACCTATATCTCCCCAGTGGTAAAAAGACTCATTGAGAAAAGCAAAACTAGAGAATTGGAATACAGGCAGACTTTCCRGGAAAGTCAACGGGCATCACAGCTGAACAAGCCTTCCAGCAGCCTCCAGATGGGAGGGAGAATAAAGTCCTTCAAGTCCTCTGAAGAAGCTGTGTTCAAGGATATGCTATCAGAGACTGTGTTATCAATGTTGGCAACTTACTCTTTTTTGGATGCTACTGTTGCCCCAGAACCCACGTATTTACAAAAGGATTCCAGAGAATGTCCCACCGCAAACTATAACAAGATCATTTTCCCCCGCAAACCTATGATGAGGATGCTTCCATACAGCTCACTACCGGCCAGCAAGGAGAAATAGGCAAATGGCTAGCTAGGAGTCCTTGCAGCCATCCCCTAAGAATGTACAGCAATTAAGCTCCATTGGCCACAAAGTACACTCTGTCCTTTAACTTTGAACTTGCTCGGGTTCATGCAGAGGTTGGTGGAGAGAAACCACATCAGAATATGTGGGCTGTTGAGTTGGGTGGGTAGCCCTGCTGCAGCTCTGCAGCCTGTGGATTTGGACAGTTCCGCCACAGATGCTGAGGACCTACCTGTAGGTACATCAGTCAGGACTAGGCAGGTGACAGAGATCACGCCAGTTATTTTTTACCAGAGATGATATTATGAAGAATTATCAACTAGGAAAATGCAAAGGGCATAAAGATAATCTGAAGAGATCCAAGGAGGGTAACCCCTGCAGGAAGCTGGGTCAGCAAAGGGAATACACTGGTCTCTCTGAGAGGTCTGAGACTGGTTCTGTGTGTTGGAAAAGCCCCAAACTGGATCCATATGTTCCTAGAAGTAGTTTGCCACTGTCTGGATGGATAAATAGGATTAATAGGGAAAGTGGACAGGGACAGGAAGCAAACCACCAGGGAGATCCATCTTCCTCCCCTAGCCATGCAGGCTCTTGCTAGCACCTCCTACAGGCTGAGTTGATCAGAGCCTAACGCAAGAATATGATTTGCAGAATCCCAAACCCAGCATCTCCAAGCATGGTATGAAAGGAAGGATTTTTGAAATCAAGACAATACTAGCTTAATAACGAGCACATGGTTCTGATGCTCCATTTTGGCCTCTGAACCTGGTATTGAGGTTACTTTTTCTTGGAGGGCTTACAAAATAGTGGTGGGAAGCCAGAGTGTTCCCTGTTGAGAAATGGAAGATCCACACCTGCCAGCCCCACTCGGTTGTAGTTCTTTTAAGGTTTACTTTATGGAGCAGAGATAGTGGAGGAAGAAGTATTTGTAAAATGGCCACTAGAATTTGTCTACCCATGCTCTTAATTGGTCCCAAAGCAAGCAATGCTGAAGTCTGCTCAGTCTCTAAGTAGACAAGCTCTTTTTTGAGACTCAAGGAAGATTTGGTTAAGACAGGCAGCTCTAGCCAGTCTTGTCTTTGGGATTTATCGGCTAAGCATGGCTGACCTCACCTGAGTTTCTGTGTTTGTCTTTGCAAAGGCAGTTAATACCCATCTGGCTTCCCCCACAGAGTTATTATACAGGATGTGATGTACTAATAGATATAATTGTCATTTGAAACACTTAAATTTGCCCTGCAATGCATTTTTACCCATCCAAGAGTCTTGTGTGTTCACCCTCATTTATGGGTACAGCTTTGGAGATCTTGACTCCTATGCATTCGTGTTGGGACAGAAGTATAAATTAGGAGCCCTGGACCAGTTCCTGGGTTCACAACCCTTGATCAGAAAGAATTCTTGCAAAAATAGATGTTTTCTAGTGAATCTCCATGATTGTATTTTCTATCCATACAATGTTTACAAACCTGGAGGCAGGTGCTAAATTCGTCCAACAAGAAATTTTATATCTTCTATCTTTTTATGGGTTTTTATGCCCAGGGTATATTTGGGAAAGTGTAGATTGAAGAGCCTCTTGGAGTGTTAGAGTTTGTAGGAATTTAGGATTATTGGATTATTTCTTCCAATCTCTTTAAGAGATGAGTAGTGTGGTAATTTACCAAAGGTTGCATAGATTTTTTTTTTTTTTTTTGGAGGATGGGAGGGTAACTGAGATTGAACTCAAGGGCACATGACCACTGGGCTACATCCCTAGTCCTATTTTGTATTTTATTTAGGGACAGGTTCTCACAGAATTGCTTAGTACCTCGCTTTTGCTGAGGCTGGCTTTGAACTTTTGATCCTCCTGCCTCAGCCTCTCGAGCTTACTGGGATTACAGGTGTTCCCGCCTTATAGGTTTGTTTATTTATTTATTTATTTTTAGTTTCTAGATATTTAATAGTTCTTACAAAAGTATGTACTCTAAACTAAAACTATTGTGTCAGAGACAACATTATTTAGATAAATTTAATTCTAACAACATAAGCATGAGCCAACGACATCATTTTACATCTTATGCACTAATGAAAATTACCTGCATTGTGTGACTGCATTGGTCCCCGAAGCCATTTTTAGGTCTGGCCAACCTGGGGGTCTTGAGTAGCCCACTACTAGGAAAGAATTTTCCCATGGAAGAAACAGCAGGGCGAGACCAGCTGTTCCCAGTAATGATGTTATTGGTCACTGGAGGAGGAGGAGGATTCTGTGTACCCTGTGGTGTCTGATAATCAGATTTGTCTTTTGGTCCAGACATTCCTGGGTGCCCTGGAGTAGGTGTACCAGTCAGTCTCTCAAAGGGCTTTCACTAAAATCCTGTGGAGTACCAAGTGGAGGGAGATCTTACTGACTGCACAGTCCACCAGCATATAGGCCCCACTGCCTGATGGGGATGTGAAACTTCCAGGTCTGGCGGATGCTGAGTGACATCTTTGGCACTCCCAGAAATAGGCCTGGAATCCTTCGTGGAGGCCTGATGTCTGTCATGAGCAGCAGAGTACGCATGGAGTGGAATGTGGATTATTCCCAACGTAACCTCATCTGCCTACCCAAGTTAGAGAGGCCTAAGATATCTCAGGTTACTCTGAACACACTGAACTTCCATCTTGGAGAGGTAACTGGCCTTCTATGATGGTTCATAGCCCACAGCCTCTTCTTATTTATCTCCTCTGTGAATGGAATTTTCAGCTTGGCAGGAGAGCTGTTCTAGTGGATCCCCCTGCTGTTGTAAGTTTAGGAAACACTAGAATATGTATTTTGTTAGCCCATCTGTGTTGTTCTGTAACTAAGGCCCTGTTCTGACACATACTGAGCAGCTGTTTTGGACAGATTCTTGGGCTCCCTGTGCACAATATGGTATTTACCCGTTTGCAGATTCCATGGTCGGTGTTTGAACAGTGGATGTTTAACCTCGGCAATATGACTGAGCCTGCTGGTCATTTTCATTTTGTTAGGAGACTGTTGGGACATCAAGTTCCACATTCTGCAGCCTGCCTAGGTGTGGCCCTGGAGCATGTCTTGGTGGAGATTAGGCTGCTTGACAGATAAGAGGTCTGCAAGAGTCTTCAAGGAGGTAACTGTGTCCAGGAAGGTGCTGGTGCAGGTGTGGGAATGCCAGATGTTTGGGGGAGGGCCTGAGAGTCTTCTAACTGGTATCGACTGAATTGTGGCCTAAATGGAAGATGTGGGTTTGGAGCCAGGTGGGAAAAAGAGTGTGATCAGCAGATTCAACTCTTCCTTTTGTTGGCCCACATCCTTTACATGGGAGACTTAAATGCCATTTAGTAACATGGTATCCCTCCCCTTTTCTTAGCACGGAGGGAACAAAATGGGTACTGTGAGGTATAAGTTATGATCTTTGGACTTTGCGGGAACTCCTCATGAGAAATCACATGAAGCAGGAGACACAGMACAGGGCAGAGTTCAGCTCCCCATGTTCGAATCCCAGCTAGGCACTGAAGATGCATCCAAGGGCACAAAAAAACCAGGAGCAGGAGTCCCAGCCCTGTCATTCTGCTCTACACATCAGCAGCATTTGTAAAAAGATTGTGAACGTGACTTTGGGAGCTGTGTCCCAGCAAATATGCCCCTCTGCACCATGTGGTTCTTTTCGGCCTTGAGTCATTCCTTCTTAGAAGCTTTTTTGGAATCCCCACACTTCCCAGACCAAAGGGCACATTTTTGGAGTCGGCATATGATCAGTGCCAGAGAAGACAGACCCAGAAACCCCCGGAACAGGGAGTCAGGGAAGGGGAAGTAAACAGGGAGTTTGACTGTGATCTGAGGTTGTCACAGCCTGGACCAAAGCTCAGAGTTGGGTTTCTTTTTGCCAAGTAATTTGGAAAACCTCCCTCTTCCTCCTTCCCTCCCCCTTTCATACCCACATCTCTTATGAGAGATCTGAGGCAAGCTACTTAAGTACTTAGAAATCACCTCAATAGAATGGCTGGGCTTGGCCTGCACACGTTCAGGGGATTCTTTGGGGCATGCAGGCAGGGCCAGCAGGGGATGCAAGAAAAGCCCTCCTCTGCCCCATATTCCAACCTGACCATGACGCAATTTTTCTTTGGACAAGGCAGAATACAGTGGAGGAGCTTTCTTGCAGGGTGATATATGGCATGGAAAAGACTTTAGACTTGGTGTCTATATATCCCTGTCTCCTCTTCTAGCCTCTATATTCCAGGGCTAATAAAAATCTCTACGTCGTCTATGGCCTTTCTAGGAAGCTCCTATTGCTGGGATCTCAGCAGGGCTTATGGTATCCATTCATTTCCTCTCCAGATTCAATTGTTCTGCCTCCCAGAACATTCCATTGATTTGGGTAGACAGAGGGATGTGAGAAACCACAGAATTTCAAGCAAGTTAGAAACTCAGCTCCTGGGATCGTTTCTGCACATGTGCTAACTGGGAGGAATTTTGGGGAGAGGAGAGTTGGGACCATAGCAAGTTACAGCTGGAAGGAAATTGGCTCAAGTGTGTCCATTTCCCTGCTTACACATTTGTATGTTGAAAGTTGTCTGAGTCCATTTTACTGCCCAGARTGTTAGGGCCATACTTATCAGGTTGGCTGTATAATTACTGAAGTAGGAGAGCTCCTTTGGGATTGGAGCCCAGATTCTCAACTCTAAATGCAGGCTGCTTCCCCTATACTGAGACCATCTCTTCCTAGATTGAATCAATGATAGTCCTGCTGGCGTCTAAGTAAGGGAGATTGGTCCATGGCCGCTGACCACATGGGGTCTATTGTGGAGTGGCTTTACTCTTTATATGGCCAGTTTGCCGTGTGCTCTGGAACACAGGTATAGTATGGTGAGGTTGAAAGTGCCATACGCCTGGACAAGGCTGGCCAGATTTCTTGTCACATCCCCAGATCCTGGTCCATGGTGTGGCACAGGATTGGTGTGCAAGTACTTACTGAACTTCAGGTATTCTGTTCTTTTAAGTGACCAAGCCATATACCCAT